CTTGAAAAGTCCTGCTATGTGGTTTCTCATGATACTTACAAAAACCCAAAATTTGAAATTTGATTTCTATTGTTGTTTCCTCATGTTCTTTCAGAGCGCTTGTGTGCAAAAGATGAATAGAGGTCATTCTTCTTTCGGTCCACTTAGCATGGAATGATAGGAATTTCGTTCTGACGTGGGCTGGTATTGAGCATTTCTGATGAAGGCTTTAGACTGGTAAATTCAGAATTGGGATTATGGACACTGAAGCCTTTGTCGTTAGTTTTGATCGGGCGATTGGTCCTGATATTATTTGATGCTTTTCTTACTAAATTTTGGAGAAGTCCTCAAATTCATTTAGGAATTTCTCTACTAGATAGTAGTGATATCATTCTTCGGGTAATTGGATTTACTTGAGCTGTAGGAAGTGCCAATTTTTTGTTCTATAGCAAGTGCACCGTCACCCCGAGCAAGGAATTTGAACTTATTAACACAGTTCTTTTTATAAAATTTGATATTTTGCTATATTTTCCCCTTTAGGTGTAATTCTCAATAATTTAGTACACCAAATTCATTCACCAGAAATGATTGTAGTTGTAAATGTACTTTTTTATAGTTGAAATGTTTGATCCCTGAAATTATTGATGATTGTTACTTGTTAAACTAGTTATGGAGTAAATCAAAAGATATAATGAACTTAAAACTTAGGCTGGACCCATGGTGTGGCAAAATAGTAGTTTCCACTTCCCATGGTGAAATTGACACCAAAGCTTTCAACAAATCCCCACTTGGTTTGTTACAAAAACTTAGCAGAATCATCTGCAACGAGTGCAGTAGAATTATGTACTTCAGATTCATCATCTTTGGAAAATTTACTTTAGATGGATGTGCATATTGAGCTTTTTATGAATTTTGTGAGAGAAAAAACCCAAAGATACCAAAAGATATGCTATGTAAACTTGACACGGATGTCAATATTGAGCTTTTTATGAATTTTGTGAAATTAAAAAAACCCAAAGATAATAAAAGGATGATAGAACTTTATAAAGTAGTGAGAGTGAATTTACACCAATACATGGATGAAAATCACCTCAAGATACCAATTACATCTAGTGGCTTCAAATTCTTGGTCTTGGTTTTCTTAAACTCTGACTGGTTTCTCCAATACAGCTGAGAAGAAGAGCTCATCTCCAAGCTTATCAGTCTTAGGTACAACCCTCCATAGTAATGGCTTGTAGCCTAACCTGTTACACTCATCCAAATACAACTTCAAGTCCTCCTCATGACAGAAGAAGCGGTCTATCCAAGGAAGACCCTTTGGCCGAAGGACACGGTCCCAATCAAACAACACAAACTGAAGGAGTTCAATTCCTATCCAGCCATCCAAGAACAAATTAGAGTGGATCATGTCAAGGGCATTGTCAAAGAAGGGCAATCTTGAGCCAATTGATGTGTAAAGAGGAAGAAGGCCTCTTAAGGCAATGACCTCATTGAAAGGAGCCCCTAAGTTTAAGGTACTTGAAACAATGGTAACATTCTTTTCCCTCATGATAGAAGCAAATGTTCCTGTTGTCGGGCTAAAATGTAGGCTGATTCTTATCTCCTCCGGCTTTAACCCTAGAACTTCATCAATGGTGAACTCTGCTGATTCAAACTCGTTTGTTGGAGTATCCCACCCTTTTTTTGAAAGGTTGAAGCAGTCTGAGCATTTGAAGAAGCCTCTTCGGTGCTTGGTTTCTTTGGAGACAAGGCAAGAGTATTCTTTGCACTTGTAATTGTTCCATAGGATGTTAGCACCACTAGGTTGAGTCCAAAGGGGGGAGTTTATAGGAAATGGCTTGGTGTAGTGTGGGGGTGATTTTGTGAAGCATCTTCTTCTTGGTAATGGATCACATCCATGAACTATAAGCTTCTGAGCTATTCCCCAATCATCCGGGCATGTACTGTGAACCTTATAACTCATAAACCGGTCTAAATTGGTGGCCATATTGGCACAAGCCAACCCCATTGATGGAGTTACTGCTTCTACCCCAAGAAAATTCTTCTTCCCAATTAGCCTGTTTTGTTTTGGTGAAGTGTAATTGTGAATCTCACCTGAACTGAAGACCTTCCCACCCATAAACTGTTCTTCAGCTTCCTCGGGATCACTGAAATCTTCATCGACATTGCTCATCTCAGCTTTAGCAGGGGGAGAATTCCTGTAGAGCCTTGATAAGCTATCTGCAAGTTTGTCCAAAGAAATGGCAATGTGAAGCACCTGATCCGAAAATTTCGCAATTGCTTTTGAGTCTGAACTTTCATTATGCAGCTGCTCCAGTAAAACCCCCAGTTGGATCTGCAAACGAGAGATATCTCCGTGCAGGGAATGAGGCAAAACAATTTGGTCATGGGAAGTACTGGCAGAAGTAGCAAAAATGGATTGTGGATATGAAACATTGAAGCCAAAAATGAAAACTGTGAGGGGGCTGACAAGGAGAATAGCACATAACATTGCGGCAAGAAGGCATCTGACTGGCTGAGAGGAGCTTTCCTTCTGCATTTCTAAGATGGGTTATTTTTCTTCCTTGCACTTCTTCTGGGGATAACAACCATTTGAACTGTCATTCAATCTTTCAAGCTGTTGACTGGAAGAGTGAAGTTGGATTTAATTCTCTTAATTTTCTATTGCGTTTTCAATAATCCCCAGGTGCATCGTACCATACTTTATAGTCAGTTTTCTTTGAACCTTAGTCACCCCTCGTATCAAACCATCTTGATCTATGATAATATTAAACTAAATTTTTTGCCAACTTTCACATAAGTTTTCCCCATGCAGAGAATTTTGTACACAATCTGCATAAAATTTGAAGTTTTTTTACATATTAAGTGAAATAAATTGAGATGATCTTTGGTTTTATTCACTAATAAACAGACTGAATAGGGGTAATGGCCAGATTAGGTGGAATTAGCATTTGATTTCTCAACTATAGAACTTGGAAGAACGAGAGCGCTTTATAATAGTTTCTCATATGGAACTCAATTAATACATAAACTCAAACAACATTTGAGGGTTCTTGTGCATAAAGCACTTTTACAAAACCGAAGAATCAACTGCTATAAGAAAGAAAGAAGAAGAAGAAAACAGGAAAGATGTTGATCATTTAAGCTCTTCAAGACCTTCTTCATAGGGTTTGAAGATGGCTGACTTCCACTTCCAGAGTAATGGAAATATCTTTGTCCAAAATTGCGACTGAGAGTACAGAGAGATGCATCAAAACTGCCCAAAACAAAGACAACAAATCAGAGTCTGTAACTTATCATCATCATTGTTTATAATTTGTAAATGTAAGAGTCCACCCTGCAAAAGCTATTGAAATACTACCTCTATTAATTACAAACATGGTCCTCATCTTCTTCTTCTTCACCTTCTTCATAATCATCATTATCATCTCTGCTTGCCTCTGCATATTCTTCAAGTGATGCAGAGGGGAACATATCCCCAGCCTTGTCATCTTTGTCGGTTGCCGCTTTCGCTAAACCAGTAGCTTTGCCTGCGTTCATCTGTTGCAGTACAATTTGAGCTCACAAAGTATGTAACTTTATTCGTAGAAAATACAAGAAGCTCAAAAACACAAATGGGTTTCCATTAGAGAACATACCGCACGTATCAGTGTCCTCCTATCTCTTTCTCGAGCATTTTTTATGGCCTGCACATTATAAGTTGATAAAACAAAACAAACCCATCAATCCCATTAAGCCCATTTTGTAATGCAAACGCACTTAGAGAATTAAAAATGAAAAATAAAAACAAACCTCCTGAAGCTTTTTTTGCTCAGCTTCCACTTCCGAAGGGTCTTTTCCAACGATGCGTTCGACACGGCAACAGCACTTTGCACAAACACCTTGTTCCTTGGCGCAAGCAGAACAGAGTTTATGGTGAGACTGACGAACGGCGCGCTTGGTACAACGTTGGCACTTGGTTGGCTCCGTTAGGGTCTTGTACTTGCCGTAACGGCGTTTCCATTCGATCTGCTCCTTACAGCGAGGGCAAACCCCCGTTATCTCCGACAGCGGCCTGAACCGGCCTCCGACCTCCGTTTCGTTGATTTTGACGCCCAGGTTCGGCTTCCATGCGAATTTGTTTTGGTGCCTACCGTTCATCATAATTCCTTACACTTCTCAGAGCAAATACAGTTTACAATTTTGAAAATGCAAAGCAAAAGCAATCACCTGTGCTTTGGGAGTTGCAGAAATTCAATTCATATGCCCAAACCAAAAGAAAGAGAAGAAACTCTAGGGTTTTAGGGAAGGCAGAGAAGACTGACCCGATTTAAAATTTGGGTTTCTTGACCCGAATTCGATTTCTATATGGGCTGTCCTGAAAATGATTTGGGGTTTTGGTTTTGGGTTGATTTGAGGCCATATGGACTAATTTCATGAGGTCAATTTAGCCCTTGGGCACGTAGACATAAAGTAGCCCAACAAATTTTGGGTTGGATTTTGAAATTAAAGTCATGCATATATAAAGGCATCAACAGTAAAATTAAAACATTGTGATGTAGAACCCAATTAGAGCATGGCACGTAGGATCCAAATGCTTGGTTACATGCCAGCGTCAAAGCCAACGGCCCAGATTTGGTTTGGGCTCCGGGCTCAAATTTGTACGTGAGATGATGCTTTGTGGGTGGCCATTTCAGATTTCCAGCAAAGAAGGCATAGTGTGAAGAATCCATCTGAATCCCATGCCCATGTTGACCATTATATTTGCGTTCACCAAATGTTGACTGGTTATATTATCAGCCGGAAAATACTAGGAATACCAACTTTAGATACCAACTTGTGTACTAACTCTCTAATAGAGCCTGAGACCCATTGTATTGGTGGGCTCCACCTCTATTAGAGAGTTGGTACACAAGTTGGTATCTAAAGTTAGTCTCCCTAGCATGACCCTTATCAGCCACACCACACCTTGGAGTGGTAATTAAATCCATGGTCTCTGAATCAAGCTTACCTGTAACATTCAAATGATAGTTTATTTGGAATATTTTTAGTGCAGATTCTAAAAGCTCATCATGTTGCGGGATGATGAACTAGGGAGGGCCTATGATAGGGCTGTGCCTGTTTAGCTTTTCCTCTTTGGCTTCTGCCATCCTTGTAACCAAAAAAAAAAAGCTCATCATGTCCAACGGTTATATTTAAGTCTTCCAAACCGTCGTCGTTTAGATATCCAAAGGCCCTAAGGTAGCTTCTAAGCCCAGGAGGCCCCATTGCCCGTCCCTCTCCACCACTTTGAATTGACCAAACTGTAAAAGCATGAATTGCTAGAAGGGAAAATAAATCTCTCACAAGATTGAAAATAAAGTTTGTCGCCATTTGTGCCTAGTTGGCCCTCAGAAAATTCAACACTCAAAAAAGGAATATTCCATTTCAAATTCAAATTAAATCAAACACCATCAAATCGAAGTCTTCTCTGTTGGTCTTTCATATATCTAAGACAAAGACTTTGCAAGTCATCTGTCCCTAGTCATCTGAGGCTGATAGAATCAGCTGGTCGCAGACTTTTCTACTAATCAAGTCAGGAAAAGTCCCAACCAAGGCTGTACAATTATTACAATTCCCACTTTGTTGTTATCTCAAACTCCACCCGATAAACTTCCCAACATTTTCACCTTTGTATCTCTGAGTCTCTCTACCCACGTCATCAATTACGAGATATGGAAAGAGCTGTAATGTGGGGATCGCATATGCTCTAATCAACTTGAATAAACTCACGTCTGCAGTGCATTATCTCTTAGTAAAGTGCTTTTGCACTCCACAACTTCCAACTATCGCAGATTGGTTGTGGGGTTGGAATTTTGAACCAATTGATAATGGGAGATAGTGACCTAACCCCTTAGAGCATCTCCAACCATAAGGGCTAAGTCTAGGGCAAGCAAGGATGCCACTATTCACATAAATAGTGTCAGCATGATGTCATCCAACTCGGGCTGAAGCCCAGGCGAAACCTGCCCTTGGGCATGCCCGAGCTGGTGGGACCCACGCGAAACCGGGCTGGAGGCTGCAGCGCTGGAGCTGCCTTGGGTTTGGTCGGGGGGCCTTTTGCCCGGTTTTGATGTAGCGCTGGAGCTGCTCTTATAAGCCTTTACAAAATTGTTCAACTTTCCGATATAAGATAATTCTTATCCTCACATGATGCTACATGTGTGGTGAATTGGAGTGAGGAAGGGAGGCTGCCGCCAATCGGTTGGATGGCTGCTAGGGATATAATTGCTGCAAATAGATCAATTTGAAAAAAATTAATATATATTTTAATTAAACTAGAATATTGATTTTTGTCCTTTGAATAAATATATGATTAATTATATTTTGCAATGCACTAGTTTGGATTTCAAATTATCAACCATTATGTGCAATTTCGTAGGCTAACTTATTCTTATCAACCATAACTTGCGATTTTAGGCCAACAAAAATAAAAGTTTGAAATGAGTGCATTTATTTCCAAGTATATATATGAGAATACCATCCTTGTGGATTCGTATGCAAATGCTTTTCTGTTTCTTTGTCGTATACAAGTGCTTAATTGGTACTTAGCAAACAGATTAATTTGGACAAGATCATGCCTCAAGAATACTAACTAGGCACGTTTTGGATGGGCGCATGTTTGAAAATAAGACAACGTGTACATTACAGTCCCCAGTTTATTCAACCATAACTTGCGATTTTATCTTGTGCAAATTGTAATTCAAAGACTTGTTAATTCTTCAAGTCCACGGCCAACCCAAAAAAGAAGTTTAAGTTGTTATCAAAGTTTCTATTAAATTGACTGATGTTGATCAAGAATCTTGAATTTTAGAGTAGATGAGGCCAAAAGCTTGACTTGGAAAAGTCTTTGATGATCATATGTGTAATAGAAATTCCAATTAGAGATCCACACACCACACATAACATATCTTTAACTCTCCCTATGTATATATATCATGAACATGTATGTAACAACCCAAGCATCAAACAAACACCTTGATGCAATTACCATGTTGTTATCTCAAGCTCCACCAGAGAAACTTCCCAACCTTTTGACCTTTCTATCTCTGAGTCTCTCTACCCACGTCATTGATGACGAGATATGAAAAGGGCAGCAGCAGTGACACAAATTTTTCATGCACAAGACTTACTATATCTTGACTGATATGTTGATCCAAAATAATCATTAATAATTTGAAGTCCGAAGCCAGCCACCCGCCTAATAATAATAGGTCAACAAAAATAAAAGTTTGAAATGAGTGCATCAATTGGGGTTATTTCCAAGTATATATATGGGAATACCATCCTTGTGGATCCGTATGCAAACGCTTTTCTGTTACTTTGTCGTACAAGTGCTTAATTAATGCTTTGCAAACAGATTAATTTGGATAAGATCATGCCTCAAGAATACTAACTAGGCACGTTTTGGATGGGCGCATGCTTGAAAATAAGATAACGTGTACATTACAGTCCCTAGTCTGTTCTCTTATTATCTTGTGCAAATTGGAATCCAAAGACTTGTTAATTCCTCAAGTCCGA